AGCCTTTTCTCTTTTCTTTGAATAGCTGCTTGCTCCTTCATGACTGAAGCTAGTAGCAACAATGCCATTAAGCTTACTAACTTGGTGAACTGAATCACTGGCTCTTCCTTTAAGTTTTCCAGCAGGACTTCAGCATTTCTTTGTGACTGTTTAGCTACTTCAGACTCTATTGGATCCTTTAGAATTGCTTCCAAAGAGGTCTTTAGTTGTTCTTCGTAGTCGCTAGACTGGGTGCAAGATGCCATAAGTTTTTAGTATAAGGAAAATATACGTTCAAGCGAAACTAGCATTAAACTCAGTAAAACTGATTGTTGCCAGTCCATCCTCCTTGGTGTAGGGTCTATGATTGGACTCGCCACGCTTGCGTAGGCGGGTACTAAGCAGTTGGGTTGTCATTCTGTCATTCTGTCCACACAGTTTAATTGATTTGTAAAAAATTATCTTTTTGTCTGAGCAGTCTAGAGCTCTATTTCTTAGATAAAGTTGCTTTCTTTCATCTAGTTAGGCTCTTGTAGCATCCCGTGGCACCAAAAGCTGTGAACTGCTAAACGGGCCAGGGGACCTCTCTCCAGGTGAGAGCTCGTGTTTCACTCTACAGGGCCGAGATTTGCTTCAGAGGTAGAAAATCCCATCTAACGAAAAAGAAAAAGAACGATTTTGTCCTAACTTCGTTGTTTGTGAGTTACAGTTGCTCAAAGTTTGTGATTTAGCCTCTTTGAGAATTTTTCAGGCGGCACTGGGGAAAGCAGGAGCAACTAAATTCTCTCAGTCTCTTTTAAATAACTAGAAAAATTTTCTGTGCCAACTCTTTCTTGGAATAGAGCTTCAGATGCTAAAATAAATTTCAGCTTTTCTTCTTTCTCCACCCATGTGCCATGATTAGTTAGTTGTTGACCACACCCATAGCTTATTTTAATTATCATTATAACTCTGCAGTCAATGATAATAATTTTTTTTCAAATTGCTTAAAATATCATAGTACAAGTAATACATATCACTCAGGTGAATTCCAGCAGGCGAGTCCATTGCACCATAGTGCTTCATTATAGTAGCAATTGGAAGGAGCTAGGACTCAAACTGGGACTATATGATAATACACTGAGTACTATATCTGCAAGTTCCTCTGATATAGAAGAATGCCTTAGAGAGTGTATAGTCAAATGGTTGCAGAGAGCTGATGGTGTAGATGATAAAGGAGGAGCAACCAGGACCACACTAGTCAGAGCTCTTGAACAATGCGGACAGTGGCAAACCAACAGCTGATCTCATCAGTGAGTGAAGTATCAGATATATGTAGTATTACATGTATGTATCTCCACATTGTGTTCATGCACCTTTAATTATATCGAGTACTGTTGTATAGGACGTAAGAGATTAAAAAGAATGCTGATCAATCCCAGACTGATGATGATGAACTGTGTCCACCAACAACTAAAAAGAATAAGCCATCTTGATAGAAAGATATGCACGCACCCTTTTTATCATAATTTGATTTCTGATTTGTAATATTAAAGTTTAATTACATGATTACTATTAGAGACTATGTCATTATGATCTGTGCCATTCACATACATTAATTTTTATTGGTCTTGAGTAAAATTTTTTATAATTGGGGGTGTGGTTTGAGTATAAGTAGGCGTGATTCATAATAAAATGGCTGCCAGAGGAGTAACTTGTAAAGTTCTCTGGGACAGTAAAGGAAGCCTGTTAGTAGAGTTTGATAACGTTACTGTATTGAGTAAGGTCAGTGGTATACATACCGTATATATTGTTATTAATAGTCCCTGTATAGTTTATAGGGACACCTCCTCTCATTAATTCATATATTAATATAACACAATACAACAGAATAGACTGTACTGAT